AGGCAAGAAGTCTCTTTAAAAGATATTCCACGGGCTGCTGCCTTGCCGCCGATGACTCCTGAGTACTTTCTTCTTTTCGTTGAAAGCTGAATGATGAAGCTAATAGGGTTCATGCTGAGAACAGATGTTCTTATTTCTGCCCAGAGGCGGCACATGGCGAGGATTTGCTGACTCTTCTGTGCTTTCATCTGAAGTGCTTCTGGTTGAAGTATTCTTGGGAAGGGCTGAAAAATCGCACTGTCCTGTAGCGAGGCCCTGGGCACAGGTGGAGGGGGTGTGAAGGAGCTGCTTAGAACACACCAGCCTCCTGAGGACGTAACGCTGCCCCTACTGGAAGACTGCCTTTGCTCGCATTTTACCATGAAGCATTCAGATGTTCACTTTCCTGGCTTTTTCAAGCTGATGTGTCAATGAACACTTCTTGCATTTTCTGCTTTCTTCTCTGTTTTATTCCTACTTGAAATTCATGGAAGGGTTTTTTTCCCCCTCCTCATTAAGAATCTTAAAAGTCTGTGATTACATCATTCCTTTATTTAATATTTATTAAGTGCCTCATATGTGCAAGACACTGGGGTACCAATGAAGGAAGTGGAGGAAAACTAGCTCCGAATAGAGGGGTAAGGAATTCACAGGAGGCCGGAGGAGTGCCCTGTGCGGCAGGGTCTCCCCGGGCCTTCACACCTCCACTCTTCATGCCTGTCTTTGGCAGTTGTCACAGTTTGAACAAGTGTTGCATTTTTATATACACGTATACACAAGCAGACATAAACATAAACATACACCTATGTATACAGTACACGCATGTGAACACATACACACACTTAACAGTTTATTACCAAAGTCCTGCACGAATGTTCACTCATGTAGGTAATTGACAGGTACATGATTCCCAACAAAGGGCCAGATGCTATTCCAGGTTGTGGGAGCAGAGCAGTGAACAGAAATGACGCCAGGTCTGTTCTGTTGTTATGGGGGAAAGACAGAACGTAAAGAAGACTCCTAAATAAAACACACTCGCATAGCGTGTTAGGAGATGATGACGTGCTAAGGAAGAAAGAAAAGCCGAGAAGGGAGGGAGGTGGCCAGAGAAGCTGAGACGTACACTCAGTCCTGAGAGATGAAGCCACTACTGGCAAGAGGAAAAGCAAGGAGTGAGTGAACACAAGGGTGAATGTTTACGGGGCATTAAAATACCGAGTAGAGAAGCTTAGGCAGCAAACAGTCAGAGCTCTCGACACCCAGCCTCGACCCGGTCTCCTCCCCACGGGCAAGTGTGTGATCTGGAGTCTCCTTCTAGGCCTTTTTATACATTTTTCCCACTCTTAAAGAGAAATTATCGGGGTGACATTGGTTCGCAAAATTATATTGGTTTCAAGTGTACAATCCTATAACATACCATCTGTATATAGCGTTGTATATCCTCATATGTTTTAAGAAACCAAATAACACATACACTGTCTAATGGACTGCTTGCTCGTTCAGTTCACGGCATCATCGCACATCACGTCATATCAACATGGATGTAGACCTTTAATTGAGTGGTTCTCTGGTGTCTGTTAATCCATATACTCTAAGCTACTCTCTGTTTTGGACCTTCCAGTTGTTTTTCAAAATTACTAAAAAATGCTGCACTAAATGTCCCTGTACATCTTTATTGTGTGCTTATAAGCATGTATCTGTACATTAGATTACTTATCCAAAACTTTCACAAGAAGTAATTTCTCCCAGTGAGAAGGTTTACAACGAGTTTCATTTTGACTCGTGTGTTTGGATTCATGCCACTTTGCCAAATCCAGAGCATCCTTTTAATAAAAGTTTAGAAAATAATTCTCTAGGGTTCTTTCTTGACTTCCCTGCCTTTTGCCATATGTCAAAAAATAAAATTAAAAAAAAAAAGATTTTCTTGCCAGCAAGTACTTTGGCATAGCCAGAAGCTGAACATCACTATGGGGGTGGAAAGGAGCATTTTGCTACAAATTGCATAATTTGGCAAACTTTCCTACTATGGTAGTCATGGTTTTGCAAGATTCAGTGAACTTTCTAGAGGCAGCCTCTCCGTCAACAGTTCACGCAGCAGAGCCATGGTGGCCGGGTGACCTCTCTCTCCCCGTCCGCTCCTCCCTCTGTCCCCTGCAGAGCCAAGCTCTGTGCAGGTCATTTGTCCAGGTCCTTGGGGTTCTCTTGCCTAAGGATGCAGGCTTCGCTCCTTCTTCATTCCCTCTTGCACTTAAATCCTTCCCCCTATAACAAGGGACCTCCAAAATGATCAAGGAGGCCCAATGAGGCCATCTTCCAAACCACAGTGGTGTGTGTGGAGGGGGGGACCATAAACGTGCGCTGCTTGAATGACAGACGAGATGCCATTCCGACTTTGTCTGAGGCAGAAAATACTCAACGATAGCAAACATCCCCCAGCACTGATGTCCCGCAGACACTGTGCCAGGCCCTCCTCTCTTCATTTCAACGCCTACCCTCCCTGCAGAGTTGGACCTCTCCCTCCCATGCTCCATGGGAGAAAATCAGGAATGGGACAGTAGCTGCCCAAAGCACATGCAGCTACAAGTAAAAGATCTGGGATTGGAAGCCACGTCATTTGGGCTGTGGAGGCCTGCAGTCTGGGCCACCATGTGTCCTGCCTCATTTCCAGTCTGGGCTATGTTTGAAGGGGTTTCCCATGGAAGGGGCTTGTTCTCTGCTTCTCCTCTGGTACAAGGCAAAGCCACAGCCACTGGCCCGAGAGGCAGAGACCGACCCTGAAGGTGTTCACAATGCTGCTGCCGAGGCCCATGACCACAGAGGAGACGAACAGACCCAGACTCAGAGGCCTGGGGGAGAATCCTGGTCACCTCTTTCTTACTAGGACACGTAGAAAGAAGCATCAAAAAGTAGGCACAGAGTTAACAACAACAAAGCTAAGGCCTAAACACACCCAGCCAGTAAAGCTATGAGGGAAAAAGGAGAAAGCCGGTAATGAGACTGTCTAGAAGTCTGCCCGGGCCCGACGCATGCTCAGCAGGGCGTGCCTTAGGAGCTGGGAGGTACCCGCTGTGATTCAGCTCTGCTCTCTTGGTGGGGAATGCACGGGGCAAAATTGCCTCCTTGAACGAGCTGCTTGACCTTGTCTCAGAGGCCACACAGATTCACCGGCGGCAAGAGGCCAGGGCAAGATCAGGAAAATGTAGAGCTTTTAACATCAAACTGTGGCGTCTGAATCCCAGTGACTGACCTGGTCCTGTCAAGCTCTGGGTGTTTAATCCACAGCAGATGTAATCCCTGCCCAAATGTGAGAAGATACAGCAGTAACTTGGTCATAAATGTCTTGTCTCTGGTCTCTGAAAAGAGAAAATACCTATAAAAGTTCTTGGCTCATGTTAGGACCATCATGGGTGTTTGTAGAAAGTATTGTTGCTGGAAGCAGCCCAGCCAGAAAAGATCTTGTCTCCATCCCCGACTCACAGGGAGCTAGTGAGTTCAGTGGAAAAAAAGAGTTCACCGCTTTTCTGACATCATGATAATTTTTATTTTGGGTGGTGCCCTCCCGTTTACAGGGGGCTCCTATGTCGAGAGCTCATTTTATTTGTGGACAACACTGTAGAGGCACAGAATGCTAGCGAGCAGTTCTAGAGATGGCCAGTAGTTTTTACAGTCACACGGCCAGGACAGGACAGAGACCCAAGCCTGGTCATCTTCTCAGGACATGTGAGCTGAAATCCCTTCACGAGCTGGTCAACTTAGTTTTTCAATGTTTCCAGACATTCTGTGGATGCTACATAGCAACAGATAGAAGATGGTTGGCAAAACACATCACACAGGACAATGATGGCAGATGGACCACCAGGCCACCGCTTCTTGGGGCTGAAATGAAAGGGTGAAGTTAGCTGACAGGCAGAGGCCCCAAGCCTGTAGGGAGGAAGATTCACCAGCTGGGTAGGAGCACAGGTTTGGAGGCACAGTCTGGCTTTGCCACAGTGTCCTTAGCTGTCCCCTGGAGTGATATGACACTTCTAAGACTGGTGGAGGGACTGAGTGGGCTCTGGGTGCCGTGCATCCAGCAGAGTACCTGGAATGGTAGAAAGTGCTCACGAGAAGCTATTTTTTAGCCACTCCTGTCCCCCTTCTATTTCGACCCATCACGGCCATGTTCTCCACTGCCATTTGCTCAGGGAAGTCAGGCTCTTCTCCCAGTAACGGAGAAGTCAGACCCGCTGGGAGAAGGCACAGAGATACCTGCGGCATTCAGGGCCAGACTACCCCGGGAAGGGATGGTACGTTCTTTGTAGCTTAGTGGTTAAAAGCCAGTGCCGATTGGCTACGCTGATTGTCCCCTTTCTACAAATGCAATTCATCCATCCATTCCATTCTTCACACAGACATTTTTTCTCCCACAACTACTTATTGAACTGAGTGAAGACTGAGCCATCTGCTGAGCTGGAGAGAGTGGGGGCCACTCACAGGAGCCACAGGTCAGAAATGACCAGGAAGGACTTGTACTGACAGTGGGCTGACCTTGGGGACAAGGGGGATCATCTAGAAAGCACAGGGAACAAGAGCGCCAGCTGGCGACATGACACATGGAGGGGGGTTTATATGAGTCTCACAGGCAAACCCACAACCAGAGTCCAAGTTATTCAGCCAAACCAGAAGGCATGGCCCTGGTCTGGCCTCCCATAGGTTGGGTGAGGTTAGAATTTGGAGGTCCACATGGGTAGCAAGCCGAGGCCCAGGGGCAGTGAGGGGTGGGTGCTCAGTGGTCAAGGCCTCTGTCACGGTGGCTGAGGGGACAGGCACTTGAGGTTAACATCGAAATCCAAGTACCAGGTCACAGGCTTGCCCTGAGAGGCTGAGACACAGGGCCAGAACCAGGGGTAGGTAAGGGGCCCACCCAACTCCCCACCCCCAGCGCACACTGGGAGCTGCCAGCCCAGCCCCGCCACCCACACCCTCTGGGCAGGCCCAGGCTAGGAGACAGGTGCTTCCTCCCGAGACAAAGCACCTGCCTTCAGGGACGAGAGCCTCCAGCCGAAGACCCTAAAGAGAACCCATCAGCTCTCACATGTCCAGATTTATTCTTGATCCTGCTAAGAAATGAGAGGCAAATGTGAACTAGTAAGAGGTTCAGGTTGAAAAGCTCTCGATTTCTCAACCCCTGCAAAAGCCACTGACCCATCCATCACTTCTGCCAGTCACCAGAGTCTTATTTGATGCCAGGAACCAATCACGGTGGCTGCAGGGGACCCCGCTGCATGGCCTCAGCATCCTCCTCTCATCTGCTGCTGAATCTTTTGGTGTGCACCTGCATGACAAATTGAAGTACATTCTTCACAGTTCGTCCAGTTTAAACCAGTGCTTGTCGTAGGTGACTGCGGATTACAAATCTGGCCTTGCACACAATGTTCCCGGTGAGCTACTGGGGGTCGGGGGCGGGGAGAGGGAAATGCCAGTGGGGAGAGAGGGTAAGAGTGTGGAAAGCGCACTGAGTCAGGACTTAAGAGCTCCGAATTCCTGTCTTTGTTCTGCTGCTCTATTAACCGGACCTGGGTTGGTCTCAGTATTGTCGACTGTTAAATAGAAATAATACCTGAGTTTTTTATTCAAGCCTAACAATGAGCTATAATGATGTGATAATACAGGTGGAAGGATTCGGGGAACCAAAGAATACTCAATTCTTTCATTCAAAAGTGTCTGCCAGTATCAGCGTATCGGAAGCTACCCGAATGGAACAGGCCAGGCAGGTGCCCACAGGCACAAAGGGCAGTCACAGCTGAGTCACCAGAGCCCCGGACGCCTCGAGGGTGAGGCTGGGCCTCTGCTCTCAAGAAAGAAGGAAGCAGAGTGGGGAGGACTAGAACCTGGCAGGGCAACCCAGGCAGGAAGGAGCCGGCAGCTCCTTCAGGTTCACCAGGCAAAGGTTACCCGTAGGAAGCCGGATGGTCAGGCGTCCGAACCATAGGCAGGAGCCTGGAGAGCAGAGGCCTCAGACGTCAGGAAGAGAACTGCCAGCCGCCTCTGCTCAGGCAGTGTCACTGACCCCTTCCCACGCCAGGTCCCCTTCCCACACCAGGAGAAGAAGATGCCCGAGGACACACACAGCCCTCTGCAAGGGAGTGCGAAGTCCAAGACCGGCTCTCAGACCTGAGTGTGAGATGCCAAGGCCTGCCTGCGGGACTTCCTGGGCACCGCTTGCCGGCCCCACCTACAGGGTTTCTGCTTCAGTGGCTCCCGGGTGGGGCCCTCTCCCGGGGCATTTGCATGTCTGCCAAGTCCTCAGGAGCAGTTCCGGTGCCCACCCGGGGAGACATTTAGAACGAGCTCACTGTGGCCATTGTAAGGGGCTCCTGACCACAAAGAACCGAACAGATGAGCAGTAGAAGCCTGTCTGGAGAGCCCCGGCTTCCGGCTCACTACAGCAGGTGTCCCGACCTGGCAGGCAGACCCACCCGGGGCGAGCCCAGCCCAGGGGCCCTGACGTGGTGGGCAGTGGGGTGGCACCGCTGCTGTCCTCTCTAACACCTGTTACTCTTGGACGTGGACAGAGCACCGGGGCCCTCTCCGCTTTCCCTCCAACACTTAGGGTGCTCAGGACAGGTGCAAATGAGCTGCCACTGGGGCACACAACGAGGAGCATGTGTCTGTTTTGGATATTTGCAAATGGAAAAACATCCGCTGTATCTACATTGAGTCCCCTCCCGCATGCCGTGTCTGCCTTTCTTCTAGTCTGAGTCGTGCTTAGGGTTACTGGGTCACACTGTCCCACTTTCTGTGGTTTGTCTGCACTAGTTGTACACCTTACCCGGGAGGAAGTTGGGCGGCTGCCTCACTACCCCTTCGGGGAAACATCTTAGAAACAGGACTGACAACGCATGCAGGTTCTTTCTCCCTCCCCTTTGTCCTATCCTTTCTCCCGCTAACACACACAGAAGCCCGACGTTCGTCACTCACTGCTGCCTAAATGCTGTGCTGGTGGGGAGAGAGATGGGGCAGCATCGAAGGGGAAGTCAGTTGTGAAGCACGGAGGACAGGGTGCGGCTGAGTATGGCCGGGGGGCGGGGGAGTCGCTCCCCACTCACACTCACCGTGGCTGCCTGTCAGAATCATCTGGGAGCTTTGCGTAGCTAACTACTCACGCTCAGGACCAGAGATCCCAACTGGAGCTGATCTTGGCTGGGACCCAGGGCATCAGACAATTTGAATCTCCTCAGGGCATTCTGATGTGGAGCCAAAGCTGAGATTCCCGGCTCTAGACCAACTGTTCCAGTGGCACCTGGGTGCAGAGTACAGCTGCGTTTTTCTGCAGCTTCCTTTTAACTACCTCAAGCTACAGTAAAGGAGGCTACAGGCTGCCACCTATGGGGTAGGCGAGAGGCCAGTGCCACAACCCTAAGTTTGGACAGGTAAGTGCAGGAAGCAGATAACTGAGGGCCAGGTGGGCAAAATAAAAAATGCGAGTTCAAAAGACAGCAACAAAGCCTGAGGATGTGGCCCTGGCCAGGTGGCTCAGTTGGTTGGAGCCTTATCCTATACACCATAAGGTTGTGGGTTCAATCCCTGGTCAATGTGCCCAAGGAAGGGAACTAATCAATGTTTCTCTAGCACACTGATGTTTTTCTTTTTCTCTAAAATCAATAAGCATATCCTTGGGTGAGGATTTAAAAAAAAATCTCCAGGTGTGGGGCCAATTCAAGAAAGAGCATGAGCCAAGAGCTTCAGTGCCAAGAGGGCACACAACCAGTGTCCGATTACCCCAGTCCTGGGAGCCACACAGCTTAATTCTGAAACCGGCCCAAGTCAGGAACCCGGGTGTCCCCTGTCCCAGCGGGACTGAATTCACAGCCAGGCCGGGAGAGTATTGAAAGAAGGGAGGTGAGAAGTGGAAAACGCAGAGGAAATTGTTTGGTTTGCAGAAGGTTGAGCAATCAGTTTCATTGTTTTTTGTTTGTTTCCACCCAACCGACGCAGTGGTAATGTTTCCAAGGTCATATACATTCCCGAGATGATGGGAAACGCAAACTAACATTGTCTTGGAGCAACAGTCCTTAAACCATAATGGCCTCAGAGCACTCCCAGGGGATCTTGCTCAAACGGTGTGTCTGTTTCAGTAGGTCTGGGTGGGGGGCCCAAGAGGCCCGAGAATCTGCATTTTTAACCATCTCCAACTGATGCTGATCTGAGAACCGCTGTTGCATAGCGAGGACTTCGTGGACCGGGATGGACAGCGTCTCCCTGAAATGCACGGAAGAGCCCCTCTCTGAAACGTGGCTCTGCTCTTTCTCATGTCTCAGAGCATTTAAGGTAGTCTATGGTTTTTACAAAAAGGTTTCATCCCCTGAGAAAAGTAACTTCCTGCAGCCATAAGTACAAGGACAGCATCATGCATGCCCTGAACAATATCTATTTCCCATCCCCCTCCCGCGCTCCCCCCACCCCACCCACTGGGAGGACTGCGGTTCCACAGCGAGCCAGGTCTGAGTCGACCTGGCGGGGCAAGAACTGCAATAGGTAACCTGGTCCCTGGGGGACCGGACAGCAATTCTTTGATACACGAATGTCAACGAGGTTATAATTTTCTGCTGTAGCAGAAATTTCTACACCTGATGGTATTCTTAATACACTTTAATTAAGAGGTTAACTGGTGTAGAAATTGCTTTTCTCTGAAGCCACCTGCAATCAATTTAAAGTCAATTACGAGCGGTTAGCTATTGTTTATGTGGTTAAAGAATAGAGAATACATTTCTGCTTGTCAGGGGCCATCCGAGCGAATTTTGAATGTTGCAATCCGTGGAGAGTCTGAAGCGTTGAGAGTTCCTTAATGGGCATAGAGAAGCTATTAGAAAATGTAATCAGTCGTATTTGGTGACTTGACCTTGGGACGCGGGTGGAAGAGGGTCTAATCATTTCTGTCCTGTCAGGGCCACCAGGATCACTCTGCTAAAATTAATTGGTCATTTCATTACGTGCTTTCTGAGAGCCTAATATATTCCCTACTTGATGGAAAAGAAATTGTGAAAATAATCCGTAAACCACATAACAAGCTTCAGAATACATTTGCCTTCTCCCTCTTTAGCACAGATTAAATCTGACAGCTAGTTTCAGAAGGATCAAAATTGCTGAACTCCTCCAACAGTTTAGCATGCTCCAGTTTTACAAAGAGAAGAAAAAAAATGTACTGCACAACAGGTGCCCAAGTCTAAAAATTTGAATTACAACCAATTTTCCATCAGTAAAATGTGGACATAAAAAGAGGCCCAAAGAGGTTTTCTAGGGCTTAAATGCATTATTTTGTTCAATTGTTTAGTGAGGTACTTAGCTGCTATTAAAAATTTGGATGCATGTCAGAGATGAGGAAGCTGTTTTGAATTCTATCCACCTCCGTGCTAAGTATGTGGAACAATTACATGCATCTAAGGGGCCGGCCAGCCCACTAATGTGAGAGCCTGTCGTCCGGTTGAATTACACACAATGACCGTGCGCTCCGCTGATTATCGGCCGGTTAAAGGTTTCTTGTCACCCTTTCAGGTGTCAAAATGATGACTCCAGTGACCGCCTCTGTTTACGTGTGTTCTTCCGGGACCCAGAGACCCCGCCGCCCCACCATGCACATTCCATGACATCTGCTTAAAGTGCAGAAAGTGCTCCTCTAGGGCTGCCCCCGGTCCCCCTCAAGAGTTCTTCTTACAGTTTTGCCTTCGGGCTGACACTTCCATATTTAAAATAAACCTTCCAGGATTTTCTTCCGTAAATGTTGAATGGTTAACTACTGAGAGAGGACCATCTCTTCCTGCCCTAATTGGCATCTTGACGGAAGACCACACTTTTGAAGCCTGAAAAGAAACAGAATGACAGAGGGGCTCAGGGCGGTGTTTTGCATGAGACCGGGGCCTCCCCCAGATGCCAGGATGGTGAAAACACGGAGCTATGAAGTGTTTGCTCTCTCTTGGGATGTGAGTCGGGGATGAAGTGCGGCTGTAGGACCATACTTATCACCTTAGGGCTCGGATCAGACCGTGTGGGTTTGAATCCTGGCTCCATCACTTGGACACATGCCTTAGCCTCCCCAACCCTCCCTCCCACCAACTGTCAAAGGTGGGAGCAATGCAGATCAAATGAAGTGACATTCTAGGCAGGAGGTTCCGGCCTTTTGGTGTCTCTGGGCCACACTGGAAGAAAAGTTGTCTTGGGCCACATGTTAAATTCACTGCGACACAGGATCATAACTTTTTTGATCACAGGATCAAAAAAGTCTCATAATGTTTTAAGTAAATTTACAGTTTGGGGTTGGGTCGCATTCACAGCAACCCTGGGCTGCGGACCGGACATCCCTGCAGAGTGCCGGGCGTGTACATTTACTAAGCTCTTCGTCGTAATTGAACAAAGCGTCAGATGATTTGATGTCTATCTTTTCTGAGCCCTAAACAGGGGTTCAGGATTTGAGAAGGATTTTTTTCCCTGCCTTGCAAAATATTTGATATGAAAAGTCTTAGGAAGATACCAAAATGAAGCTGTATTTGATTTTTTTCAGGTCCCCAGGGCCCGTGGTAACACCTCCTCCTTGGGGTGATGACAAAGTGAGGGACGGGGAAGATTTTCAAGACGAGCTCTACATACAGCAGCCGGGGCCTGGGTCGGGGGAGCCCTCAGCTCGGCCATAAAACAGCCGCGTGAGATCCAGAGCAAGAAGTGTGTTCTCGGGGCTCAGTGGATTTGGGTGAAACATCAGGGTTGAACAGATGACCACTGAGGTTGTTAAGAGCATCTCTGTCAGGACATTTCCTGCCCCACACCCAGGAAACAGTCTGAGGGCTGGTCATAGGGAAGCACGAGCTTGGCGGTGACCCCACATCTGCGGTTTTCAGCCTCGGGGGTCCCAACCCCTTCGCTCATGGCCCATGTGGTCTCACGTGGGTGGCCACACGTGGATGGCTGAGTGGCGGCGCCACACAGCTTTTAAAAATCATATCTCTGGGTGGGCTGGGATGGGAGTAAGAGACAGAAAACTGTACTTGAACAACAATTAAATAAAAAAATATAAAAGACCATATTTAATTTTGAAACAAAAGAATATTCACACATTACCTGAGATAGTAAACAGCATCCCCTAATATCTGGTATTATTTAATATATAATAAAAACATTGCTTGCATTTAAAAAGTCGTATCTTTCTTTGAGGAACATTCTTCATTTTGCTTCATCCTGGGAGATGCCGATCAGCTTCGGTCAAACCCCCAACACCCCAATGCCTCCTTTCCCACTTCGTGATTTGGGGAGCATCTGCTCTGTGGCACCTTGTCCTGCTTTTCTCCAACTGTCACCCTCAGCAGAGGTCACGAAGGGGCATTCAAGGCCCAGATTCGGCCCATAGAAGGCATTACTTGTTCCCCCTCCCCCAGAAGAATTTTTAAATTTGAAGTTAGTTCCCAGCATGTAACAACCAGAAGATTCCACAGAAAACCCATATCTCCAGCTTCTACTGAAAAAAATCACGGAGAGAAATGTATGACCAGAATGTCCCCAAGAAGCAAGACCTGGTTCTGGCCACGATGTAGAAAGGACACCAGCCTTCTTCCCCCGACTCTAGAGTGTCTCAGTTGAGTGCTGTCCCCTGTGAACCTGCATGGGACCCTCACATTAACCAGGCACCCTGAGGACGTCACCACTGCCCCTGGTCTGCTGCGCTCTCCAAGTTGCCTGCCAGGCCCTCCAGCCATTAGTCTGCCTGCCCCTCCCCCGCCCAGTTCACACAGGAAGTCTAACCTTTAAGAGTCTCGGTTCTTTAAGATCCAATCCTTGTGAACATTGCAAATCCCTTGAACCGGATTCACACGTTGTTGAGATATAAATAAATTATGCGTCCCTGGGCAAAAGGCTCTGAGAACCTGCTTTACTGGAAACACAGAGGAGAGGGATTGGGGACACACAGGGTCACAGGATCCAGGCTGGGCTAGAGGGCTACACCAAGAATCTGGGGGTGAGGGGCTGGGGGCTGGGTGAAGGACTGACCGCTTTCAGAAATCATCTTCCTGGAAGTAAGTGGGAGGCAGGGTGGACTCTCTCCACACAGAGACACTCCCCTCGCCCAGCCTAGTTCCACAGGCTCTCGGGGGCACTGGCACCATGGAGATGAGGTTTGGAACCACCTGGGTGCCACTACTTTTAGGGCAGAAACATATGCAAACAGCATGCTGCCCGGACTGACTGTCCTCGGAGGCTGGGTTGCCTTCCCGCTCTGAATTTCTTTCATCCTGGTTGCCTCCGCTGTCCTGTAAGAACTGTGCCTTTCAGCCACGTGTGAGGAGGCCTCACCACTGGTGGACACTAGCATTTGACTTTCCCCGTGATACGCTACAGCGTATTTGCCTCTCGGGCCCGCGGTGGGTCCTGTTTAAAGCAATCCTAAAGAAACGTACTCCAGAGAAGGTTCGTATTAGAATCACAGCATCACTTAAGCAAACCCAGTGAAGACAATACCAGCGGTGGCTCACATCAGCCCCTGAGGTGGAGTTCACTGTACCGGTCAGTGGCTGACCTTGGAAAGGGTCAAAGGCCATGAAATCAGCATCTCCGAGGTAAAGTCAGGACAGCATTACTTTGAGTTAAGTCATTCACTTGAGGACTCGGTTACTGAACTGAAGGCAAGAGCAGGTATCTGCAGGCAGAAGGAGATTCCAAGACCATCTGCCCTGGCTGAGTCATGCAGTGAGAGGTTTCACCCCTGCGCTGAACACCTGGACAGGCAGACTTTCCGCTTTGTGCCCCCAAAACTCTCGCTAACTCCATTCCCCTAGAAATAGTGAGCACAGCACCACATTAAATTCCTCGGTCAGCCGAACGGTCTGACATGAAATTTGGGGGTTGAATTATTTTGTCTCCAAGGGAAAAAAATAGGTCATTTGCTCTTCCTCTCCATGACACTCTTGTTCCTTCACTGGGTACTTCGGCCAAGTCCGACGGAAGGAGTTCAGTGTAGCTTGTGCTGTAGGCGGAGGAGATGTGAGGTCCGGGGTCTCCACGAGGGCTCTCAGAATAGCTTTTCCCTCAAACAGTTAAAAACACAAATCCCACCACTTTAATGCAACTATTCTACCTGTGTTCTCTCCTCTAACCTTTGGTATGTATCTATGTTAATGAAAGTTAAAGCGTGGTTTTTCCTTTTGTTCTGTTTGTCCACTGGTTGCATAGGCTGCCTCTTCAATGACTGGATAATAGTCGGAAACAGGAACAGCCCACCGTGGTCGGCCGCAAGAGGGCCCAAGTTCTTCGCCTCCCCCAGTCTCCGGGTCCTTTGCAGTGCCAGGCTGTGGCTCCTCCCATCAGGGGGTGAAGTTTCATTTCTCACTCTCAGAGTCCGGGCTGATCTTGTAACCGGCTTTGGACGAGAGAATGTAGCAGAGGGGATCACGTGCAGCTTCTAAGCTGTTGCCTCAAGACGACTTGCGTGCTTCTGCCTGTCTTCTTGGAACTCTGCGGTAGACCTCCATCATGAGAAAAATCCTAAACTAGCCTGTTAGAGACCGAGAAAGCATGTGCAGGGGGGAGGAGGGGGTGCGGACCAGTCAACCCAACCATCACAGCTAACCTTTCACGGACCAATCCACTCCGGGTTGACCAGTCAGCTGAGCGCAGTTGCAAGGAGGAGTCCGGCTGAGACCAGCACTTGTTGTTTTAAGGTCAATTAAATGCTTGTTTTAAGTCAGAGAGTTTGGGGTGTGTCTATTATGCAGCAATAGCTGACTGACATAGCTGTAATTCTCTTAATTGTCTCCCCTTCATTATTTATGTGGCTGTTTCCAAATTTTCTTTATTATAAAATAATGCTGTGATGAAGTTTTTGGTGTAAGTCTTTATGTGATTAGCAGGAAGCTCAATTAGAGTTACCTAGATTTTCCTCTAACTCTACTCCTCCTGCCTCTGTCTTTCCTTCCACAGCTTACTTACTATTTTATCTTTATTCTAATGGTTCTATTATATTTATGGACTTTTGCAAGTTCCTTTGAATACTCCTGCCCTATCTAGACTACTTAGGCCTCTGGGACAATCTTACTAGTTCTGACCATCGGCCTTAGTGAGAAAACCAGAACTATGACCACAACGTGTTAGACTGGGCCAGCGTGGCTGGCCCTTCACTCATTTTGCATTTTTTATTGTTGTTCAATTACAGTTGTCCCCACGTTCTTCTATTACTCACCCTGCCCTGCCCACCCCACCTTCCACATTCAACGCACACCCCACCCCCTTGTTTCTGTCCGTGGGTCCTTTATCCGTGTTCCTTCGTTCACCCCTCCCCCCTCCCTTCTGGTCACCGTCAGTTTGTTGTTTATTTCCCTGTCTCTGCTTCTGTTTGGCTTTCTTGTTTGTCTTGTTGACTAGTTTCACTTATTTAATGATCACTGTTTTGTCTTTATTAAATATAGGAACCTAGCTGAATCAAGGAACTCTGTAAGGTATCAATACTAAGCTGAACACCAAAAAGCTTTCAAATGTTTTTGAAACCTGCCTTTTTTTTCTTTAAAGGAGTGCCTAGTGAACCATCTCAAATCAGGTAGATATGTAATGTGTTTTATTTAAAGAAACTAAAATCTCAAAATGTTCTCTAAACCAATTGATTAATCCATTCCCACCTTTTTTTTTTTTTGCTGCCTACAAACTGGATGCTGCTGTAAATTAAGCCTCTGTTTCCTGGTCACTGCCTTTACTTTCCTGAACAGTCAGCAGGCATTTGCTCTCCTGTCTAAACAAAGGATGTGTGAGACTCTGGGTAGGACAGAGTCAGGGCTTGTCCCACACCCGTGGGGAAGCTCCAGGGTGTCGGATGTCACCTAAAACCCTGGACGGGTGTTTAAGCAATGACAGAAACAATGAAGATACTGTTAGTTCACATTTATTGATGTCCTTTACAGATGGTCAATAAATCTGCCTCTTTCCTTCTTTTTAAAGAGTTAATTATCCCTTTATTTACTAATTCACATCATGAATGACCTTATATAGGTGTTCGATTAGATTCATTCGTTCATTGAGACCTTCTGTGTGCTAAGCAGCGACTCATATGTTGTAAACGTGAAAAAAATCCCTGTTATTCTTCTCAAAGAAGTTTACATTCTAGGGGGTGGTGGACAGACACCATACATATCTGTGCATGTCAGGTGCTACTGAGTGTCACTGGGGAAGAGAGAGCAGGGAAGAGTGACAGAAGCAGAATGCCAGGAGTAAACAGGTATAAAGGTGATCAGGGAGTATACAGACACATTTCTGTTTTAAAGTTTTGAGATCGTTGACTTTTTATTGCCCCTTAGAACAAGTTCAGTTCGTCTCAACCCCACTGGGGCAGCAGCCCTGACATTCGGACCCACCTTGCTGGAAGCCCCCTCACCGAGCGTGCGCACACCGTGGGAGGCGGTGCCTGGGAAAGGAAGCTGTCTGAAGAAGTAGCAGCCTGTGGCCGTGGAGGTCACCTTGTCCTTAACTCGTAAAACACCGTGGGCAGCCCTTGGGGAGGGGTTGACAGATGACTCATCTGCATTCTTGCCATTGTTGCTTCCTGTTATTGTTTTTCTCCTTACATTTTAGTTAATCATTTGTTGGAGTTAGATTCAGCACTCACGTGCTTTATTGGGCCTTTTCCTACAGAGTTGTTTGGCCCAAACCCTTGGTGAAAATGGAGGTATGTTTGAGGGGTCTCTGTTCATGATGTGAAACCTCCTCCTTTGTTAAGGGGGCCACGTGCAGGGGTGAAGAATGAATGAATCCAGTTTGTAAAACAAAATCGTAAATACCCAAGGTTGGAGGACAGGAGATGCCACTCTTCACACAAGCAAATTCACCTTGAAGGCTCTATTTCTACTCAGAATTTACTGCGAAGTTTAAAATAGTTCCGCATGAGCCATTAGCCAGAATCTGGCTCATTAAACGAGAGAGGACAGAACCTGGGATTTAAGGCTAAACACCAGAAGGGGCAGACACCAGACTCTACCAGGATTTCAAAATGCTAGATCTGGTTACAAAGTACATTCTAACGTGAAGTTTCTAAGCAGAAGACCACTCCTACGATCTGCAGATGTGAAGGGAATAGCTTAATAAAACTCTCCTGTGTCTTAGCCAGGGCGAGGCACCATCAAACAGCAGGAGGTCTTCAGGAAGTCATGCTCGCTTTGCTTCACCCCCCCCCCCCTTAAAATTCCTCCTGCTTTGCTTTACAGCACACAGGAGGCGCTCTGGAGCTGACGTGCCCTGTCTGGTTTGGGGAGCCTTCTTGCAACTCCGTTCATCAGAAGAGTCTTTGTCCTCAAACACAGAAAGAGGTAAATCGCACCACCGTGGACAGCATGTTTCTGACCAGGCTCCAGATGAAACCTCAGACCAGACTGGAGTCTTTCAAAGCCAGGCCAAGCCTAGGCTCGGCTCTGCTTGCAGAAGCGCCTAATGACTTGCTGGTCATCACCCAAGAAAGAGAAGCCTGCAGACACTTGAAACGGGACTTTGGAAATCAAAAGGAAGTTTCTTCCCTCAGTTCGTTCCTTCACCATCTGGCTAGCTTTTATAATCCTCATTGCACTCTGATGAATTTTTTCATGCCACAGCTTTCTGCTCATTAACTGTAATTACCAAGAACAGGAAATTTCAGCATGATCAGATCATGTTTACCCAGAATGCCAAAGCCGGAGAACTGTTCTTTAAGAGACATTCTTGGGATCGTCAACGTTTAGAAGCTGGGTGGAACCTCTGAAATCATTGGCTCAAATCGTTCACTAGTAGATGAAGAAATCTGTATGAACGAGCCCAGGTCTGGCAGCTAGTTAGTAACAGAGAAAGGGCAAAAACACCAGCTTCCACATTCTCAGGACTGTGGTGTGTGCAACACACTCGGTTGTCTCTAGAACTGGTTCAAACCAGAAGCAGCCACTCCTCTCGGTTTGGGTGGTTCCATCAACTCCAGGATGGAATCGGGTCAAAACGTCTCATTGCATCATCACCTTGCTTTGAAACTCTGAGTTCTTTGGACATAGAGTTCTTGTCTATGTGCTGTGAACCAATAAATTCTCTGGAAAAAAAAATCAGTCCACACACTTGGCTGGTGTCTCAGAGGAAAAAAAAAATCTGGGTGATTGAATTTTTTAAATTGAACTAAGCAGCTGTTTTGGGTTTGTTTTGGTTTTTTTTTTTTTGCATCCTGTGGACACTCATATTTGGTCTAGACAAACTTGCCCAAAGCTGAGCTGGGGACATCAAATCGTATGGAGATTGTGCAGTGGCTCTGTCATTACTGCAGGTGACATGCCAATGACCAGGGGAGCGGGGAGCCTCCACATTTCAGTCCAGTAGTTTTTAATCTATCAAGCTACCTGCTACCTTTTCACTTTGGAACAACAGAATTGTTTCTCAAGTGAAATATTTGCGTGTGATCTCTACACATGAAACAGAGATGATTAAATGTTTATGTTTAAAATAAATTTCCCCTGTCTAAAAATAATAAATGAGAAAAATAGAATCACCTCCATGAGGAGTCCATGCTAGTGTTAGAGCAGCGTCAACACAGAATTTATTTCTGTATGCGGATTTATTGGCACTGAAAGTTACTCACCTGGCATACCAGGTGCCCAGCACGTAACTGGAAATGCAGGTCCGGCTGCCTGCCTCCACGAAGCTGAACTCGTGAGGCAGGTGCTGGTGCAAAAGGAGAGAGGTGTATTCAGGTGCTGTGACCTGGGGAAATGGTGGACTGGACTCCCATCTCAAATACCATCCCCCTCCCTTCCTGGTTAAGCTGTGGTTCTTACCGGCTGTTTTTTTTCTTCTATCCAATTTATCTTATGCTGCAAGCTTTTGGCGGGCTCGGGCCCCGTCCATTCATCTTTCCAGATTTTGATATGCTCAGTGTAAGAAACTTTCCCCCACCACACCCTGTCTGGGGTGGCTCCGTTGTTTGGAGTGTCGTACTGTAACCGAAAGGATGCAGTTTGATTCCTGGTCAGGGCACATACCTAGGTTGCAGGTTCAATCCCCAGTCCAATGTGACCCCCAGTCTGGATGCACAGTCCTTGGTCTGGGCACTGATCCCCACTCTGTGCATGGATGGAGGCAACCCATCCGTGCTTCTCTCTCCCTTCCTCTCTCTCTCTAAAAACAGTGGGGAAAATGTCCTCAGGTGAGGATAAAAAATAAAAAGGAAACTCCCCTGACCACCTTGACTAATGGGAGAGACTCCCTGGTGCTCTGACTCACTGTCAGTGGTAAAAATCCTACCCTCGTAATCTCTCAAGGGTAAATGAATGGAGGTCTTGTCTTTCATAATTTCTTCCTGCTGTTAAGCAACACAAGTTGCCTATGCCCCTGGTCTGGAGAATCTCGCTGTCTCCTAAAGGAAGAAGGGGGTTGAGCGTGGAGGGAAGCCTTCCGGGAGGGAGAGGGTTTGCTGTCTTTGAAAGGCAGCACACGCGGGGTCTGGAGTAGGGCACTGCTGGACAAGTGAAGCTTGAGATTTCCGCCACTTCAAATTTCAAGCGGAGGTATTGCAGATGGGCCTCCAATGTTAGACCTACTACGTAGACAAGCAATCAAGTATTCAGTGAGGGGAGGTCTCATAGTGCAAGGGGAATTGGAGTGAGATCAGAAACTGGAGAGACTAAGGGATCCCTACAATCTAATCCTGAGTGGGGCTTTGGATGGCATACCCGCCATGGGGGTAAATTTACCGAGGAAGCTACTGTCTGGGAAATGCAAAATAAAATAAAAATTAGCATTGTCACTGAGCTCTGAGAGGCACTGTCCCTTTCCAAAAGAGAAATTTTAAATGTCTTTCAGGAGCTCAAGTCCAGTCTCTTTTGCAGTACTGACAGAAGCAGCAAGATCCAAGTCCCCCTCAGCTGGTACTGGCTTTATCTGTGGTGGTGGATCTAAGGCTTGATTCCCCTGAGAAAGGGTGGTGGGCATGACAGCGTAGGGACTGGGCCATTGCTTGGCTAAGTGCAGGACCTTGAGTCTGCCAGGTCATCAGTGAGACTCGGTCTCCCAGCTGGCATGGGTGTAAAGTCTCATCAGACCGGTAGACAGACCCGCAATGAGCAAACTTGTGCAAAGTTTTTAGCGTTTGTCCTAAATGTTGTACATGTTGTCTGATCTTTTTGACTCATTTTCTAAATCTAAAGGAGGTGTTCCTAACACAACAACTTGGAAGGGTCTCCCAGAAGCTATTTCAAAAGGGCTGAATTGAAGACTGCATCAGGGTGCTATCCTACTCAGGAGCAAGAAAATGGGGAGCACCTGGTCCCATTTCAAGTGTGTTTCCTGGCATATTTTTGCCAGGGCCTTCCTTACTATGTGTTTCGTGTTCTCAGTCTTCCCCGTAGATCAGGATGTCCAAGATGTGTGTGGTTTCCAATGAATCTGTAGCTCCTGTCCTATCGTCTCGGAGATCTCTGAAGTGAACGATGGCCCACTGTTGCTTTGAATGCTGTAAGGAAGTCCAAACCTAGGGGTTATTTTTTGAGTGGAAGTTTTGCTACCTGTTGTCTTTTCAGTTCTAGTGGGGTATGCTTATACCCATCCAGGAAAGGTGTCTACAAAACCTAATAAAAATTTAAAGTTTTCTGTGGTTTTTAGGTATCCATGTTAAGTCAATTTGCCAGTCTTCAAAAGGGCATATCCCTTTATGTTGTACCCCCTTTTCTGTTGAGAGACCATTTCTCTTAGGATTGTTTTGGGGGCATATCTGCAGGCTTGGTTACTCATCTGAATGGCCCTTTGTAACTAAGGGCCCCTCAAAAAAGGTGAATTTCTCTGCTTCCTGTAAGATGTCACAGGTAGCTGCTATTGCCCAGACACATAGCAGCCATCCTTGCTTCATGTGATCCAGTTTCTTTGAGGGCAGGCTATGGGTTGAGAGCTACTTGCCAGGGTCTGGGCTAGTACCCCCAGTCTAATTTCTGCCTTTCATAAATGCATACTTTGAAGGGTTTCCACAAATAGGGAAACGCTAGTGCAGGCCCCAAACTAGCTTTTCTTCACAGGTGTCAAACGCTGTCACGCAGGCTCTTGTCCATGAAAGGGGTTCAGAGTCTAGTCCTTTCAAAGAATTACACAATGGTTTTGCAAGAAGGCCAAAGTTTGGAATCCAGTTTCAGCAAAGCCCTGTAATTTCTAAGAATCCACAAAGCCGCCTCCAATTCTCTGGGATTTTGCTTGTAGCAATGGCTTGTTTCCAATTAGCCATCAAGGTCCTAGTGTCCTGTTGCAGCTGGAATCCCAGATATGCTTCCTCCTGTTTGCAAATCTGGGCCCTGCAAGGCGATCGTTTATATCTTCATTTTGCCAAGTGATTCAGGATCGTGATGGTGTTAAGCGAACCGTCTTTGTACGTATTGCTAACTACTCGTAAGCCGTCTACATATTGTAGAAGAATTCTCCATTTCAATGGAATGTCCCTAAAATCTGTTGCTGATATTTCCCCAGATGTGGTCAGGGTATTCTTAAATCCTTGTGGAAACACAGTCCAACAGTATTGGAGTGTGGCTTTAGTTATTGGGTCCTGCTATTCAAAGGGAAATAATAGTTGAGCCTATTCATCTATTAGGACGCAGAAATAAGAATCCCTCAATTCTAGGACTAAAAACCATTCGCTATCCCTGGGCACCATGGTCAACAAAGTGTAAGGGTTGGGAACCATAGGATGAATGTCCTGAACAGCGTCACTTATGGCTCTAAGGTCCTGTATAAATTGATATTCATCAGAGTGAGGCTGTTCGACTGGCAGTATGGTAGGGTTAGAGGGATACTGGTGTGGCCAAATTAATCCTGATTTTAAGAAGTTTGGCAATACTGGCTGAATTCCCTTGAAAGCTTCCTTTTTAAGGGATCATGGTTTCTTCCATGAGATCTGCACCTTTTCTTTTAGGTTAATTTTGATAGGTTGCATGTTAGCCACCCTACCTGGGGTTCTGTCAGCCCAAATAGCTCATTCAACTTGTTCGTAGAACTCAGGTGAGAAGAGTTTACCTCTGGGTCCTTCCAGAAAAGTCGGAAATACCTGGGCTGGAGAGCACGTCCTGGTGGGACTCCTAAACATAACTGCTGCTTCCCAGGGGGAAAGGTTATTTGTGCAGGCAACTGACCAAGTAAATCTCAGCCCGACAATAGAAGGGGGGAGTCTGACGTGTAGAGAAAATTATGCGTAAGGTTTTGATTCTGAAGCTAGCATTCTAGAGGTCGAGGGAACACCTGTTTTTGTCACTGTCTGCTCGCTTCGGTAACTGACACCGCAGCTGAACTTTCCTTGGTTAGTTTTTTATTTAGCCCTGAGCACATACATCCTGCATCTACAAGGAAGTCAGTGAGCTCACCCCCACCGTCCTTGTACTCGGGCCTCCTGTGGGAAAGTAGTAGTAGGTCAGCAGGTGTCTAGGGAAGCTCCTGGGCCTCCTCATTTGTCATCACGTTCATCATTCCCTCCTAACATTTCCAGTGAGGGTTTCTATCCTTTTTATTTTTCTTTTTGAGTTCCGGGCAGTCCTTCCTGCTTATTCCACCCTGCAATAAGCTCGTTGATTGGTGCCTAGTGGGTCTTTCCCCTTTCCTTTTGGGCCCTGCCTCTCCTTCTGGTCTCCCCACACTCTAAGAAAACCGTGGCCTGCTTTAATTTCCTTGTGTCCTGGGCATGGTAAACTTTACAGGCTGGGTCTCCCGGCTGGAAGGGATTGATTGCCAGTGCCCCCTCTCAACGCTGGAGCTTCCCTCTGATGTCTGGGGCACTTTGCCCAACAAAAGTCATGTCTACCATCCAGACATTTTTCTGTTGCTTGTGGGTAAGCATCAGCGTGCCTTAGGTAGGCCTGATAGACCCCTTCTAAAGGTCTAGATTCTGCATTCTGTTGAGTGGTACATAGCATCCTCAGGCTCTTTTGTTTACTCAGCCCTCTCCTAAGCCCCTCCAATATGCACCTTTTGTAACGTTCTAGGAAAACTAGGTCCCTGCTATTCAGGTCTCAGGGGGGCTGTATCAGGAGAGTGGCCCCCCAGCTGGTTGGGGGTCCTATTGGGGTACTCCTGGTGGAGGCAATGAGCC